AAGCTACGCATGTTTTAAAATATAAACTTAATCTAGACAAACGTTAATATTAAAATAAATATATAATAACAAATTCGTTACATATGTATCTTACATTTTTTGGGTGAAGCAGTTATGGTTTGTTTGGTATTAATAACGGAGCTTCACAATGATTTGTCTTTATTATGCCCACCGCGGAAATCGAACCCCAATGTTTAGAATTATAAACTCCAAAGCATACCGATGAGCCACTTGAGGCTTAATGCTAGCTTATTTAAGTTTACATGAACCTATCCCTTAGTGCATCAGCGATAGATTTACAACACTAAACTCAGATGTTCGATTTGCCGTGATAGACAAACCACAGATAGTCTATGTATATTTGTATTAAGCAAACAGATACATGAACCAGATTTAGTTGTCACAAGAGTCAGACATAATAAAGTGGTTAGCGTGCTGGGCTGCGTATTGAAGGGTTCAAGGTTCGAGACAATGATGCCGCTGAAAACGCTTCACTCTTTTAGCTGTAGGCGAGTTATAAAAATGACATTTAACTCCGTTATTTTGCTCAAGGAGCCAACAAAAAGTACTTTTGGAACAGATGCCGCTGGTCAATAGTTCGAAATTAGGGACGGCTATACCTGAGCTTTACAAATGTCTGATCAGGCCCTTTAGCATAAGGTTCTGTTAAGGTTAAAAATTTCACTTCCAACTGTCACAACGTTTATCCGGTGTATTTGTTCTGCAATATGTTTGAAACATAACTATAGACGTGTATTTCGAGAAGCTTTGCAGAGAAAGTACAATTTAACTGTTGAATCTATGGGACATTACAAACCCTCATTCTACCATCACCATCAGCGGAATGGACCCTAAAATCCATTTCTTAAAACAAGGAAAAACTGTTTTAATGATAATTTAGATTGAAATTAGCCTGGTTTCAGCCAGTAGTATCGCTGTAATATCGTTATCTCTAATAGCAAGTATCAATGAATTGAAGAATGACAAAAGATTTCTCGTATTAACTTTTTTATAAATATACAATTTCAATATAAAAATGGCATAATAACCGATGAAAATCTAGAATTTATTTCTAGTCCGACAGCCATCATCGAAACGTTAGCATTGTTTCCAGAGGTATTATAAAGACGTTTTTCTATACTGAAGTGCTTATTTGATAAAGTAAGAACTTCAGCGTTTAAAAATGCACAATAATTTATTGTATAAAGTTAAAAGTAAAATATATAATTAAAAACTTCAAAGAATTAAAACTCTACAGGTTTCGGTGGTGAAATTCCACAATCTTCAAAGTATATTTTTAATTATATAGAGTTTTTAATGGTATATTTTACTTTTAACTGTATACAGTAAATTATTGTGCATTTTGAAACGTTGAAGTTCTTACTTATTTTATAAAATGTATCCACAAGAATGTTCGTGTAATATACTGAAATGCTTGCTTGTTTGTAGTTAAACACAAAGCTACACAAAGGGCCATCAGTGCTCTGCCCACCACGAGTATCGAAACCCGGTTTCTAGGCTTGTAAATCCGTAGACGTACCGCTGTGCCACTGGGAGGCTGAAATGCTTATTTATCGCCTTTTGACAATCTTAGTGTGATACGCATAAATACCAATAAAATTTTTAGAACTTTACCTAAAAATGAAAATAGAACTAAAATCGCTTATTATTAGAACTAGTTTAATAAAATTTAGCATAATAAATTATATCTTCTTATCTGTAAGGGTCTAACCGGAGTAAATCGGCGAGAAATCTGCGTATCAAAGTTTTAGAAAAAAAAATCGCATATTATATATGTGATTCTATTATTGTTTTCGTAGATTTAGCTCATAATGAGATGTACATGGTGTGGCCCAGTTAGTAGAATGCTAGGCTGTAAATCCGAATGTCCATGGTTCGTGTACAATTCTATACTTTGGGGTAGTGGACCGCAATAAATCTGAATCAAATCCTACTGTTCGGTCAGATAAGAGTAGCCCAAGAGTTGATGCTTGGTGCTGTTGACTAGCTGCCCTTCTCTCTAGTCTATCAATTCCAGATTAGGGGCAACTACTGCAGATAGCCCTTGTGTAGCTTTGCGCGAAAATCGAAAACAAACAGATCACAAAGGGACATCCACCACATTTCTTTATTATTGTTAATAACACAAATTCGTGCATAATGGTGGCTTTCCAGTAGAGTTGACATCTCCCCTCAACGTAAAAACAGACATTGTGCAACACTATTATTATTATAATGTCTCTTTCGTCTCATTAATTTGTTACTTTTTAAGCTTTGATGAATATGTATTGCCTATGATATATTCAACATGCACTCAACTTCATTCAATAATATTAGAATATGAAGGTTAATTTCTAAGTGAAGTTTTAAATAAGATGTGTTCTAGTATATATTGTTGTAGTTGTTAAAAAGATCGTAATATATAACCACTAAAAAAGGACAGTCGATATTCAAGTGTAATGAAGTAAGGCTATCAGCATGAATAATAGAATATTAGTTTGTGTCTATTGTGTTTAGAAAACAGTGTGTATCAGTTTTTCATGAAGGCAGAAGACGAACGGTCATCTTCCCAAGAAGTTCCGATAAGTATTCAGATAAGTGGACCGCAAGCAGTAATACCTTATTTTCAAAATCATCATTATCGATATTTTGTGTCAGAGTCAGCCAAAATAGGCACTATTATTTCTGTACTCAACGCTAACGCCACCTGGCCAGTTGTATATTCATTGTCTCCAGTAAAAGCAGAATCTACAGCTCAACTATATCAGTCCAAATTTGCTGTTGACAGGCAAGGCCAGATCTTACTGATATCTAAACTTGACCGGGAAAAAGTAACTACTTATTATTTAACAGTCAAAGCCCACGTGCAGGGCAATCGCCAATTGGCATCGTACGTTAACATTGAAATAGTGGTCATGGACGAGAATGATAATACTCCAGAGTTTGAATCCCACTCATATATAAACAAAGTTGCGGAAAATGTAGACATAGGCTGTTTGGTACTCAGGCTAGTAGCTCATGATAATGATGCAGGTCAAAATGCTGACATCACGTATTCATTTGGCTTAGTTGATGACGATATCACAGGCATTTTTAGCTTAGACGAGAACACTGGATGGCTGACAACAATGGTTCCTTTAGATTACGAAACTCGTTCGACGTATAACTTTACTGTAATAGCAAGTGACAACGGTTCTCCTCCTTTGTCCTCTGTTGCCTTGGTAACTATAGAGGTACAAGATTACAATGATAACCCACCAACTTTCAAGAGGTCCTTTTACGAGGCTGCTATCTATGAAGACGCTCTTGCCGGAAATGACATAATTGTGTTGGAGGTTAACGACCGAGACAGTGAGGAAATGAATAACAGTTTGGAATTTTATATCACTAAAGGAAATCTCCGAGACTCTTTCCGAGTTCAGAAAACTGGAGAGTTATACGTCAACACTGCTCTTGATCGAGAACAGATTCCACACTACGATCTGGAGATTACTGTAACGGATGGGAAGTTTATCTCCTCAACTCTTGTCTCTCTTGACGTGCTCGATGCCAACGACAATCCAACCGTGTTTCTTAAAGTAAGTTCTGTACATCTGTGTCAAGTTAGACAAAGATTAAGGTTTTATCACAAACATATATCACGCGTTTATGTAAAAGTAATATACAGATATGTTACAAATTTTGAAAATACTGTATTTAAATAAATATATATATATATATATAGTTCATATATTTGCTACTTCTACGCTGTGTACTTTTGATAACTACAAAGTTAATTAAGTTGCAGATTCAGCCATATAATAATTAAAACGAGAGTAAAAATAGCATCCAAAAACGTAAGTCAAAGATTAAGATTTTGAAACTTAATAAGTGAATGATACTTTAAGTAAAATTTCCTTCAGATATTGTATTTTTTTTGCATAATACATTGGAGAAAGATTTAAATTACGCTGATACGATATAATTTAACTTTGTCTTGAAATTACACACTTAGTAGCAGAGCATACTTATCAGCCAGATCAAAGTTTATAACTCAATGTGTAACGAAAACAGAACATGTTAATTTATCAACAAAATTGTTTTTGACCCTGTGGTTTCTCACACCTGGAATTAGTATGTACAGAATTGCCATAATTTATGGTTAAAAACTCCCCGTTTTTAGATATAACCCACTAACTTTTCAAAGAGCGTTAAAAAGGATATATTAACTAAAATTAGTTGTTTTTAAATGGAACGTAAAACTCACGAAATGAAGTTGTCTGAAATTAAGTTTTCACTACCGTACCATCTGATAGCTATACTTTATTGGACTATTCTTCATTAAAAAGACAAGAAGAGTCGTTTTTTAGGTCTTTGTTATCTTGTTTCATCGAACTGGAGAGGTTAAGAGAAAAAAGTTAAGGTAGAAAGTGATGCTAGAGATCTTATGCTTTTACTTTCACATTCTTTACGAAAAAAACAAACAAAAGATTGGAAGAACTTCTGACAAATTCTGTGAAACACCAAAATTATTACTCAATGCTAACTTCTGATTCTGTAGTCAAAGTACACGGTAATGTTGACCGAGGAGATGCCAGTCCAAAGTATTGTGTTACAACTAGAGACAAGAGACGTTGATACCAAAAGGAACGCCCATGCGCTCTATTTCTTGACTGGGAATGGGGCTGAAAATTTTGTAATCGATCCGTCGACAGGTTGGTATTATTAACGTTTATCAATTATTAACATTCAGTTTGTGAATATCGTGTTAAATTATGTTTAGTTTGATTTTAGATCATTACTGTATCTTTAAAATTAACCCGTCTGTACTTACTTATAAACCAAATTAATCGAAATATTTCAAACTTATACGAATTTCTATGCATTTCAGGAGGAAGTTACATCTAAAAAATCTAGAAACATTATGCACTTGTATATTATATCTATCTTGGACATTTAGAGTTTGTGTATTAAGTTTCTACAAATACACTGTCATGAAGATAAATCTTTGTTCTCAACAATTTGCAATACCCCTTTGATATTTTTTAAGCATTATTCTGGTGTTTTGCTTTTTAATGTTTAGATGATTCATTTACGAAAAGAATTATTTATTCAACATTTAAATTCCATATCGTAAAATATAACAAGTATCATAATTACTACATCACGATTAATTTAAATCATATATTTTTAAACTTTTTTACCTTTAACTTTACAAATATTTGGGTTCAGTTTATTAAGTATCACGAAGGACCTTTTTTTTTTTAACTTTCACGTCCTTGTTTCAAACCTTTCTTTAGTGATCATATATTCCTACAAATTTAAATAATTTATTCAACTATGAACTCTTTTATATCAAGAGCTGGCGTTCAGGTTAACTGGACATCACAAATCTATCTGGCTTGTACAAGTTCGCACCTAGAGTAAAAACTATTTTTATAATATGTATACGCAATAGTAGCGTATATATATTAAATATTAATAACAAGGTAATATAAACAAACATCTTTAATACGGACGTTTCGGAATTTCCTTAAATTCCATCATCAGCGTTAATACCTCAAAAAAATTAGTTCATAATATTTGAACTACAAAAAAAAAACAGCAATGAGCGGGTTTTCGTATTTAATCGGAAGTTTAGAAAGAACAGATTTAAACATTAACAATATAATGTTTTATCCTACATTCCATTATATTGTTACCGTTTAAATCTGTTCTTTCTGAACTTCCGATTGAATACGAAAACTCGCGTGCCCCCCCCCCCAATGGTACAGCAGTATGTCTGCGGACTTACAACGCTAGAAACCGGGTTTCGATACCCGTGGTGGGCAGAGCACAGATAGCCCATTGTGTAGCTTTGTGCTTAATTCCAAACAAACAAACGAAAATTCGCTCAATGCTAATGTTATTTTTTATAGTTCGAATATTATGAATTAGATTTTTATTTAGATATTAACGCTGATGATGGAATTTAAGGAAATTCCGAAACGTCCGCGTTAAAGATGTTTTTTGGTATTCCCGTGTTTTTAATATTCATTATAAAAACTTCGTTTTCTACCTGATGAATCAGTGAATATATTGATGTGATTCTTAAAAGAAACATCTTACCATTTCGTTTTAATTGCAGTTGCTCTGAAACTGGTCCTACCGCTGGACAGAGAGAAGACGCCCCACTATAATCTGATTGCCCACATCCATGATAATGGACATTCGCACTTGGAGAGTACGTGTAATATTGATATTATACTGACTGACATCAACGATAATGCCCCCAGTTTCACAATGCAAGTTTATTCTGCCAGTGTTTCAGAAGATGCTAAGGTTGGAACACTTCTAATGAAGGTTCATGCTGTTGACAAGGATAAAGGTAGGGACACTTTTAATGTAGTTCGTTGTGTTGGCAGAAATAAAAGTAGGAAGAGCTGTTATGAAAATTCCTGCTGTAAACAGGGATACAAGTAGGATTACTTTTCATAAAAGTTCATGGTGTGAACAGGATAAAGGCAGGAACACACCTAGCGAAATTTCATGCTGTTATCAAGATTAAAATCAGATAACAACACACTTAATGATGGTTCATGCTGTGGACTGAGATAAAGGTAGAAACACTTCTAATGAAAGCTCATTCTATTGATAATAATAAAAGTAAAATCTATTCTAACCAACGTTCATGCTGTTGATATGAATAAAGGTAGGAACATGTATAATGAAACTTCATGCTTTTGAAATGGGTAAAGGTAATAGCAGTTCTAATAAATGTTCATGGTGTAAATAGACACAAAGGTAACAACACTTCTAATGAACGTTCCATGTTGTTGATAAGAAAGTGTGGAAACCTTTTAATGAAAATTAATGTTGTTTACAAGTATAAAAGTAGGAAAACTTTAATAAAGGATCGAGCTGTTGACAAGAGTAAAGGCAGGAATATCTAAGTCAAATATCTTATTAGGACGCAGTAATCTTTTGAAGATATGTTTGTTGAAAGCTTATTGCTTTTATTATGGTGGTCTAAATGTAAGCACTTTAAATTAATATAAATCAAGAAGCGAAATGTTTATTGAATACTTACCTCCGCCGCTGAAAGTGACAGAGAATGTTTATTGGATACTTACCTCCACCACCGAAGGTGACAGAGAATGTTTATTGAATACTTACCTCCGCCGCTGAAGGTGACAGAGAATGTTTATTGGATACTTACCTCCACCACCGAAGGTGACAGAGAATGTTTATTGAATACTTACCTCCGCCACTGAAGGTGACAGAGAATGTTTATTGAATACTTACCTCCGCCACTGAAGGTGACAGAGAATGTTTATTGAATACTTACCTCCACCACCGAAGGTGACAGAGAATGTTTATTGGATACTTAACTCCACGTGTTTGTCAGCAAAATTTCTAGAAAACGACTAAATAGATTTGGACGAAAGTTGTTATACATTTTGACTAGGGGTCAACTTAGAAGTGGTTAGTGTTTGGAAGGTCAAGGTCACATCTGGGTCACTAAAATCCAAAAAATCCCTATCTGTTAACATGGGGACCGATTTTTCATACTATTTTTGTTCTATAACTCAGTCGAAAATGACTGGATTTTTGATCAAACTTGATAGGCATATGTAAAATATCATTCATCATTGCCCTGCCAAAAATGGTCCGTTTCCGTTGATGACAACGACCACACGGACACATTTTCGTTTTTTGGTTTATTTTGAGGGCCGAATCTGATCAACGCTGTGTGGCGGAGGTATGCGCTCTACTGAGTGTCCCTCTAGTTTTATCTCTTTTATATCACAAACCCTTTGGGTATGTATTTGTATTTTGTTCATCGTTGTGTTTTTCATTTTTATGAGTCTATTTATATTTTGGCCCCTAAGTGGCACAGCGGCATGTCTGTGGACTTACAACGCTAGAATCCGGGTTTCGATATCCGTGGTGGGCAGAGCACAGATAGCCCATTGTGTAGCTTTGTGCTTAATTACAAACAAAACAAAATTTATATTTTGTTGCTATTTAAACCTGCATATGCTTTTGGATAAAAACCTACTAGTTTAAATAAAATAAGTTTTTTGCATATGCTTTTGGATTGAAAATTTTATAGAACTATATTTTTTCTATGTTGTCATTTAAATATTCTTTACCTAAAGACTGTCATAAAGGAGAGAGAGAAAAAAGCGAAGTCTTTAGCTTCCATCTTGTGGTAACCATAGTAACGAGCATGCTGCTTAATCCTCCGGCTATAAAATGTCGGTAACTTCCGGCTTAATGCATAAGTTACCGCGCCCCTAACGACTCTGTGATGGCTCCAGAGGTATGATTCATGACCGGGTAGGATTATCAAAGTTATGATGTTCTGAAATTAGCTTAAAGTAATGAATCACTTGTATTTTGACAGATCTAATTGAACACGCACACTTGTTGAGAAGAGCTATGAACTGTGGTTTCTCTTAGCATACTGAACTGCCATAAATTAACATATAATTTAAGTGAGTTAAAAAAAATCTATTGTGATTAAAATAATTGCACACATATTGCAAATTATAGAAATATGTATATTTATAAATAGCAAACCTGTTGCTCTTAATCCCACGATATTAAATTAAAATGTCATTTACTTAAGACACAACATGAGTAGGGTCATAAACTTATATAGCCAATTCTCTCTGTCACAATTGACTTGTCTAAATGTAAGGTTTAAGTAAGACAACTAGCCGAGAACGAATACTTTTATTGAAAATTTAAAAATATTACACGATTACATGTGATAAAAGGTTTAGGCATGTTACATATATTCAGCTGTAAACTTCGGTATTTACCACGCATTTTGTTAACTTATAATGTTGGAATATTTTGGAATGAGTTCGTGAAACAAATGCGTTTTAAAGTGAATCTAACTGAGTTAAAATATTGCTTTAAAGTTTCTGAAATAAAACCATTACAAAATTCTAAGTAGCGAAGCGAGTTTTTTTTATCTTCTTTATTTTTATTGTATTTGTTTGTCTAAATTTGTCTAGTACAAAAATGTTTTTTCTTCAAATTCATTATTCAGCTCCATGGAAGGTGAATAAGATATTTTATCTGTTTTTTTGTTGTTGTTGTCTTAAGAGTTGATTAACAGTTCCCTTATATTTTATTTCACCTTTTTTATGATTCCCAGGACCAAACAGGAAGGTCAGCTACAATTTTGTTTACTCAGCTGAGGAAACGTTCTCAATCGACAAGAAAACCGGAATTATCCGCCTAAATAAAAAGCTGGACCGAGAAAGAGTAGGATTTTACAACTTAACCGTTAAAGCTACCGATCATGGCTTCCCCCAGCTGTCATCGGTCTCTGCCGTCCATGTGCAAGTACAGGACATAAATGACAATCCCCCGGTGTTTAGCCAAAAGCATTACCAAGCTTTGGTGTCAGAAAAAGGAGAGATTGGCGCCGAGGTGATCCAGGTCTTTGCAGTTAGCATCGACGTTGGTAGCAATGCGGAGATAACTTATTCACTACTTGCTGGAAATGACCTTGGATATTTTAAAATCAATGATAAAATCGGTAAGGAATATTTTAAATTCTTCAGAAAATAGCAAAGTAATCCTCATGTCTACAGTTTCACCATCATCTCAATTAATTTAAAATCATTCGTCCTTTTAAAGTACAAGCACGTTTTTCTGACACCACCGGTGAAGGATTACACATTTCGATCCTTCCAGGAATAATGTAGCAAAGACAAATCACCACTCTAGTCTCAACACGTATGTTTGCCAGGAGTCATTTTCCTAATTCGCTCCTAATCGTACAGGGTGATTGTAAAGGAGATTATACTATAAAAAATTACTTGTCCTAAGAGAACTAAATTCCCCATAGGTACATTAGAAATAGTAATTTTTGTTCAGGAAAAATTAGTTATGGGACAAACATCATCTGTTCTGGACAGTATTCGCTGTTTCTCGTAGTTTCCTCCACACTGACACACACATTTTATTCGAGTCATCAATCTTGTATTATTGAAAGATAGAGAGAAAAATAGAGCAATAAAAGCAATGATGATTTGCAAGAAAAGTGATTTACTTATGCTGTATGATATGGTTTTAGAATGTTCAGGCTTTCCTGATTACAACATCCGAATCTCAATGTATCACTAGTGAAACTGAACCTCACTAGTACAAGTACTTTAAAAATTAAGATATTAAGATTAAGTTGTTGCTTTTTTATAATCACCATGTTCTTGTAATGATGTAGATATTTTGTGTTTGTATATGTTTGCTAATGCTAATCTTTAAACTCCTATGTTTTATCATTGAGTGCTACTTTTAATGTAAACTAGACCACCGTGACCCGTTGGGTCAACCACTATTCAGAGGTTATGAATAATTCAAGCTAATTTCAATATTGCACTGAAACGAAGGTTTATTTTGAGAAAATTTGATTAAATATTTCAATCCATTCGTGTTATTCATAATTCAAGAAAAGATATTTGAGTGTTGATCGGGAGTAAAAGGAAAGACCATTTCATTTTTCACAAAAGTGAAGTAAGAAGTTTCGTAAAGAGCGCGAACGGTAGTGTGAATGATTTTTTGACTGATGAAATAAGCAAACAAACAAACAATCTCAGAGTTTTAGTAGTATATAGATAGATTTTTCAATATCTTGTTTTTGTCATCTTATGCCTTTTAATGAAGATGGGAACATTGACAGGGAAATAATATAATAGCCAATGCTCGGTGAGAGGTTTTGGTTTATAAAATTTTGTTTTTGTTCTCGACTTGATTTTTATTTTATTACCTCGTCTCCATAGATACTATTTTCAAATAGTCAATAATATTGTAGGTCCATTTTATTGTTGTTTTTTCTACACGCCTTTGTAACATTTTCATCTCATCATTGTGCATATATTGTTGTATAGAAGATATTTTAAAGTGATTCTTCATGTGGAAAACGAATAGATAGATACATAAACCGATATGTGACGCCATTTAGTGTATCTAAATTCATCTAGAAATTTTCATAAAAGTAACTCGAAAAACGGAGCTAATTCGGTAACCCGTGGCCCGATTTTAACGAAACCTGTTTTATTCTGTTTCTATTCTCATTTTTATTCTCATTTCATTACAAATATGGCAGTATTTTGCGCCGTTTTTGCTGTATTTAATTACAGACAAGCAAACAATCAAACAATCTCATAGTTTTAGCATCGATAAGCACTGCGACTGTACTGTCATACAGATTTGCCAACGTTTTATCATTCATTGCCCGAAGGAAGCATTTTTGGAGTGATCAAGTCATTGCCACAGCTAAATAATGGGACACATGATGTGTGCAAATCTCACCACAGACATTGAAAATTTAGTACTATGAGATTGAATCTTGAGCCATTTTAACTGCAAAGTACTGCTTACATACAACGTGACGTATTGAATTAAAAGAAGCAAGTTTCAATACATAAGTTGTAACTAGACATGCCATGAAAAATTGGTCAGGCCATGGCATGACTGGCCATACCGCTTCCTATGACCCTGTATTGAACATGTACTAGTATTGTTGTCAATATATCGATAGAGACCTACTGGTTTAAATAAAAAGTTTTTACATGTTTTAATATTAAGTGAGAGGCGTTGTTGTTATTAAGAAACTTGGACATGTCCAAGCAATTTACCTGTCGAGTTGGATTACAGTCAAAGAGTCCGAGATTTGAGACGTGATTCCTCTGAACACTCTCTGCACTTTCTGCTGTGGTGAATTTAAAAAGTGGTAGCCTATCGTTATTCAGTTGAAAGAACCGAAAAAATACCTTGCAGCTGCGAATGCTGTTGGCCAGCTATTATTATTATTATTATTATTCATCGGGATTCGATCCATGTTTTGGACCAATGAGGGTCAAGTTCAGCGTAGAACTCTTCCTCCCACTCTGTAATTGTTATTTTGTTTGGACTCTTACTGAATTCTAGGTAATAACCCCTGTTACATTGTTGCACTACTCACAGTATGTTGATTTGTTTCTATTGTTCTCAGTTTTAATTAACGTACCATTTTCGTGCCATGTCCAATTCATGGGGTAATATTAACTCGTATATTTTCACTAGCTTCACGTATGTATGATCACACTATTAGCCCGTGTTCACAATACAGTTCCACTTAGCAGTCATACACACACATACACACACACACACGTAATATAATTTTTACATAAAATAGATTACCTTTTAAAATAGACCTACGTTTGTGTTTAGGATTCAGTTAGCTTAGCACTGTTAGGCCTATAAGTTTCCTATTTATGATGTTTAGAGGGGAGAGGTAGTTAGGGCTTGGTTCATCATATACTATGCAACTCTCTAATTTGCTCTTTTTATATTTATATTTTTTATTATGTTGAAGCGAGTTATTCAGGAGTCTGTCTGATAGTGTTGGCATGTTTGAACAGTTGTGTAGAAATACTGAGTTTGTTGATCGTGGGACTGTATATGCTTTCGTTAAAATATAGTTTTTTATTTGCTGTAGTTTGTTGATGTATGTTTTTGATACATTTATCCATGTGATACAGGCATATTCTACGACTGGTCTTATGTATGTTCTGTAAATTTTTAATATGTTTTCTATTAAATCTCCTTGTTTGTTGCCAGACAGGCTCCTAAAGTAACTCGCTCTTTTTTATGCTATTAATGTGTGGTATCCAGTTTAATTTTGAGTCAAATGTAATCCCTAAGAATTTTGCTGATGTTGTTACCTGTAAGAGAGTTCCGTCTGGATATAACTGTGGTATTAATTTGCTTGTTTTGTACGATTTTGTAAATAATATGACTTGTGTTTTGTGCGTATTTATTTTAATTCTCCACTTATTGCAGTACAATTCTATTTCGTTTTGTAGTGGCTGTATATTGTATCTTGCTCTTGTTGGGTTTGGGGCACTCTTCCAGATTGCAGCATCATCTACGAACTGTGAGCAAAAAGTATGGTTTGGGTCTTTGACATACAGGATAAACACTGTAGGGCTAAGTACTCCTCCTTGAGGGACACCCGCCTCCGGAGTGCAGAACTCGGAGTAGGTGCCCTTAACATTCACTCTGATGCTCCTATCGTCCAGGAAGTTAGAGACCCAGCGAATAATTTCTATCGGGAGTCCCAATTTGGACAGTTTGTATCTGAATCTATTGTGTCATACTTTGTCGAATGTTTTTTCAACATTTAGGAATCATGCGACTGTGCATTGTTTCTTATTAAAGCCGTGTATTATTTCTTCCGTAAATCTTATGAGATGATCTGTTCTTTATCTTGCTTTTCGGAACCCATTTGTATTTCCGGGAATATTGATTTAGTTACAAAGTAATTTATGAATCTACTATTTATGAATTTTTCAAGTAATTTCCTAGTTTGCTTCTTAGACTTATGGGCCTGTAATTTTCAGGGTTATCCGCTGATGTTCCTTCCTTCTGGAACATAAGAACATTGGCCTGTTTCCAAGCGGTTAGTATGTATCTTGTGATAAGTTGTATAAAGATGTGAGATGTTCTAATAATCTCAGAGGGCCTTTCTTGAGTAATATGTTTTGAATTCTGTTTTGTCCTGGTGCTTTATTTTTCAAAACTTTTATGTTTTCTTGTACCTCTGCTACTGTGATGGGTTTGATAAGTTGTTTTATTGTGTAGTCGTGTTCAGCTTCTGATATGGTGTTATTGTGTTGAGTGTCCTTAGTGAAGTGTGGTGTATATAGTATGATTGGTTGTGATATAAATTTTTATTATATTTATTAAATGGTTGTTTATGTTTGCTTCGTCTGATGTTTTGAAAGTTTTTGGAGTTGTTCTTTAAAGGTGTGTGCTTTCTGTTTATTCGTGTATATTAGTTTATTATTATGTTTAAGTGTAGAGTAGGTGGTGATAGATGTTTATCCTTGACTTTGTAGTTTTTTTTGTATATGGGACCAAAAGTCTTTGGGATCTGTTTTAAGTTTATTTGTGTACAGAAGGTGTCCCAGTTTTGTAATGTTAGTAGCTTAATGTCGTTTCTAATTTTGTTTCTGAGTGTATATATTTGCGTTTTTGTTTGTGGGTCACCGGTTGTCATATATTCTCTTCTTAGTCTTCTTAGTTCCTTTATTTTGTTCATTATGTCAGTGTTCAGTTGTCATTTGGTTTGGGTATTGTTTATTGATATTTTTGGTATACATGTGTTTGTTGTTTTTATGAGGCTCTCCGAGATTACTGACCAGTACCTGTATATATCTAGGCTGCTAGTGGCTGTTGTGATGAGTTCATGTTGTAAAAGTTCTGTTAATATCTCTTCATATTTCTTCCAATTTGCTTATTTGTAGTTTAATTTTTGTGTGTTTTGTTTGTTTTGGTGTGGTGAGAGATCGAATACACTCCATATCGGTAAATGTTCGCTGTCTGAATCTTCTCCTACGTTGAATGTTAAAAAGCTGTTTATTAATATTGGTGAACACATACACTGCAGTGATATGTGTAACTGGTATGTGTTGTTGTTGTATCGTTTAGTAGGTAGGTATCTGAATCTTATTAATGTTGGTGAACACATACACAGGTCTAGTATATCACTGGAGTGATATGTGTCACTGGTATGTGTTGATGTTGTATCGTTTAGTAGGTAGGTATCTGAATCTTCCAGAAATGATAGTATATGTATTCCATTAGCATTTGTGGTCATGAAACCGAAAATTGTGTTTTTGCTATTGAACTCGCCTATAATAATATATTTGTTGTTGTGGAAGATGATTTTGTTTAGTAGTGTAGAGTCTGTTTTGTTTCGTGGTGAGCAGTGTATACCTGCTACTGTGACTGTTTGGTTATTGCGTAGCAGTACATCTATTATAATATAATCTTTGTTTTTTGACGGTTAATGTATTGTGTTTATAGATAATTGTTTTTGTATACGTATGCCCCGTTCTGAGGATTCCTTGTTTGGCCTGTCTATTCCTTCTACTTGGTATTCTGCCATTTTGAAGAAAAGTAATTGAGGAGCATTATTTCGGTAATAAATATGATATCTGGCGATGTTTTTGTGGCAGCGTGTTCGATCTCATGCACTCTTGAAAACAAGGCCGCCTTGGATATTTATATGTAATACAGTGAGAGAATTCATTGTGGTATGATGCTCGTTAGAATTCTGTGTATTACATGTGGTATTAGATGTTGTAGGTGTTTCGTGATGAGACTGATAACCAGTGTTATAATGTCCGTATTGTTACTTGGTTTACTGTATTCTTGAAGGGAATCGGTGAATATGTTTGTAATTGCTGTTGCTAATTCTCTGTTACCTTCATTGTCAGTGTTTGTACCAGCTCTCTGGTCAACAGTTCAAAATTTACGATAACTCTTATTCGATGACGAGGAACCCACTTTGAGACTAATAATGGTTGGAGACGGCTTGAATGGGTAATTAAGAAAAAAATGTAATATAAGTTTAACATAACAGCAAATGTACAACGTTTCGACTTGATAATAACAAAACCTTAGTCGAAACGTTAGGTACATTTGCTGTTATGTTGAACTTATATTAAAATTTTTCTTCATTACCCATTCAAGCCGTCTACAACCATTATTAGGACAACTCTACTCTTGCATTCAAGAGGCCTCCGAGTCGGCCGTTTAGTACGCATGCGCAGTAGAACGCATACCTCCGCCACGCAGCGTTGATCATGTTCGACTCTCAAAATAATACGGAAATGTGTCCGTATAGCAGTCATTATCAACGCACACGGACCATTTTTGGCAGAACAATGAGGAATAATGTTCTACATATGTCCACCAAGTTTCATCAAAATCAGATAATTTTTGACGGAGTTATAGGGCAAAAATAATGTGAAATTTTGTCTCCACGTTAACAGAGAGATATTTTTGTGACCTTGAACTTTGACCTTGATCCTCCAAAAACTAATCACCTCTAAGTTGGGTTATAGTCCAAAAGTATGCCAACTTTCGTCCAAATTCATTCAGCCGTTTTTGAGAAATCTTGCTGAAAACACACACACACACAAAAACAAACACATACACCACAGGGATGAAAACATAACCTTTAGCGGTTTAGTGGCGGAGGTAATAAAATGAAGAAAACAATGGGCATATATTTTCTTATCAAGGAAAGATCAACATTATTATTTTGATAGTAGTGCTTCTTTGTTCAGTTCTTTTTTTTTAACATCTCTTTCAGGTTCTATCTATGTGATTAAACATCTAGACTATGAAGACATCCGAAACTTCGTCTTAATTGTAGAAGCCAAAGATGGAGGAACACCACCTCTCACAGCTCAAGCTACTGTTAACGTTTCAGTCGTGGATGCAAATGATAATACTCCTATCTTTAATCAGGCTTCTTATCAAGCCATCGTTCGCGAAGACGCTTTAGTGGGACACACCATAATTCAGGTAAATTTACCTCAGGTAAGCCCACCCCTCCAACCTGCGAGAAACATATCAATAAGATATTATTCTGGTAGGGTTGTCGCCCTCTTTTCGAAGACCTCGTCAATCAGATATTATTCTAGTAAGGTTGTCATCCTCTGCGAAGAGCTTGTCAATGGGATGTTCTTTTGGTAAGGCTATCCTTCTCTGCGAAGAACTATTCTTCTGGTAAAGTTACCCACTGTAAGGAGCACATCAGTGAGATATTATTCTGGTAAAATTATCTCCAACTAGGAACACGTGAATGAAATATTATTCCAGCAAGGTTATCGCTCTCTGCAAAGAACACGTCAATGGAATATTATGCTGGTACGATTATCACTTACAGAAAAATAAAACGTCAATGGAATATTATTTTGTTAAGGTAAAATACACCAAGTAATGTATTAATGCCACTTAGGCAAATTAATATTTTGTAAGAAATATCCCACTATGACGACTGCTGTAGTCGAACTAGAACAATAGAGTTCTTTGGTCTAACAATACAAGTAGGTATATGACACTTATAATTTTGATTTTTGATTTTTATATAGTAGTTTCATTAAATATGTTTCAGTTTCAATATTAATATGTTCATAATTTTTAACATTGAAACCAGCTGTTTTAGTGTGATATTTAAAACTTTTTAAATATTGTAAACTATAATGTTTCAGTCTGTCAGTATTAAACGTATATTTTGTATAACGTTGCGCTTTATAAGAGTTTGCCTAAGGATGTAACCTTTATTTAAATTCCAAATCATTTGGGCTCATATTTTTTCAGGCTTAAATATCTACGTTTTGTATCAACTGTGGAGTAGATAGGTTGAGCAATCACGTTTGTCTTTCTGTGTCTAACGCTAAGAATGTATTTGCATAGTTTTATTTCATGCACATGTAATTGGTTTTTCAGTAGAGTGAACGTAGTTTCTATTTCACAGTGTGATAGAAATAATGAATATTTCAATAGCGCTGAGTCAGTCGAAATGTGATTTATTTATTCGAAGTAATGTAGTCGTTTTATGTTGCTATAGGTGAAAGCAAGTGATGTGGACAGCACTCCGAACGCAGTTCTGTCTTATTTTATTACAAAAGGAGATCGATTTGGACACTTCTTCATTGACAAGAAAAGGGGTTACATTAAGCTAGCTTCTTCACTCGATCGAGAAAAGGTAAACCCTAATGCTACATTTATTAATCTATATAAATTAGTTACACCTTTTCAAAAGGGTAAGTTCTATTCTACAGCTCCAATAAGAAACAAAGACGAAACTTCTAAGATGTTTTATAGCATTCAGTTTGGATTTTTCTTGGATTTTCATTTTTTTTTCGAGTTATAATGGAAGCCTTATCATCAGTATGGATATATTGTTTATATATTTATGGCGAAACCTTGGGCCTATAATAAAACAAGATTTTATCTACAAAAACATTCACGTTATCGTATTATTGTGCAAGAAGGAAAACTATGACAAGATAATTAAAAATTGTTAATTTAAAAAGAGGAATGGTCAAAAAGTACAGAAACAAGTTCAATCAAAATGCAAAGATATTTTTTAAGCCTACAACTAGGGACTCTAAAAACGTAACCAAACTGGGCTGGAAATAGTGTCTACATTATGTTTTCAAGCTACAAATTTTGACTCCATGTCTACAGTACTTATCAATTTTAGTGGATAATAAATTTTAAACTAGTGCATATACATTCAGGTGAGTGTTACATATTTTTCAACATTTTACTGCTGCATTGGCTTTTTTTTCACCCAACCATTATTTACTGAGCTAGGTGGTTTTGTGCCTGAGGTTTCGAATAAACATGCGTTTAACAAGCGAAGTACGAAAATCAGTAAAATAAATCACCACTCAGAAGAGTAGAGAAATCTACTATGGTAATCGTCTACTGTTAGAAAACTCACTGAAATAGTCGCCGAAAACCACGTAGAGACAAAGTACAATAGCGAACTCGAGAAACATTGAAGAACAGCGAACTCCAGAAATGATGAATCCTCAACGTGATACTTTCCAATTAATGCGCGTTAGTAAAACACCGGATTTTTGCAATGACGAAAAGTGAAGGACGTAGGGAATTTCTTCAGGGCAAAAAACGATGGCACTTGAATTATTTTTGAAACTACTCTATGATATACTCAATAGTTTTTTTCATTACTATTTTCCAGGTTTCAGTAAAATATTCTTTGCCGTTTTTTCTGTAGTAGCTTGTAAATGTATAATCAATAATAATAAGGCTGGAGATACTTATAAATATACACATTGTTTACTCTAATAAAAAGAAGCATTTCCGACTAGTAGAACGGTGTTTAAATGGTTTCTACATTTCTGCGATGCTTGAATGGCTTCAAAGAGCTTATGTTGTTAGCGAAGAAGAACTTAGAAAATTTTAAAGGGTGGAAATCTGGACTTTCAAGAATCAACTTAAAAATATCCCTACAACCTTCGCAGGAGTTTGTTTAGTAGCTGTGCATAGATTTTGACGCAGTATACTTAGCTGTTTTTGCTGCTGGCATTGGTGTTTGAAGAAAAACTGGGACAAAATCGATGAAAAAACTGATAAAATCTCTCCTTCTCCTTCAAGAATCAACATAAAAATAATCCTATGACCTACACAGGAAATTTTAATAGGTTTGCCCAGGTTTGAATAAAATATTCAAAGCTGTTTTTTTCTGTACACTTGTGAAACAGTAATAATAATATGAAGAACAAATGGATGAATATAGAATTTTTTCTAACAATCGGGAAGTCAACGTTTTTGCTATTATCAATATTTTAGCTGCCTTAGCCATTGAGATAGAAGGTCTTGAGTGTTGTTTCAAGAACAAGCCTGTTTTTAAGATAGTTTTTGCCCGTGTGATCTATTAGACTTTTCGTGAAATTCCTGTTCTCGTGGTTTATAATGAAGCTTTATATATTTCGCAAAGAAAAATCCTGATTTTTTTTAGATTTATTTTGTAATAATGTTTTCATGGAGCGATATTTATTTTCTGAACTCGCTCTAGAAACATTACTAAAGATTCTGATTGGCTGTTTAGTTGAATTGAACGTATTTTCTCTTTTATTATAAGGTTTCCAAGTACGTGCTAGAAGTCGAATGTCGAGACAGTGGGACGCCATACCTTTTTAACAAAGTCATTGTAGACGTCGAAGTAGCTGACGTAAACGATAACCCACCAGTTTTTTCTAAACCTAACTATACAGCTACTCTGCAGGTAAAGTATGAAAAAAATATTCTGAAATTTCTATACATATCTCCATGTAAAGCGTTTTATTTTAACCAAAATATATAAACTGTTAGATTTCCAAGTCGTCGTTTTATTTAATCTGCTCTGTCTTAGTTTTCTATTTATATACAGTGAATATTTAGTTGTCTGCATTTCTTTTAAAAGTAGAGTATGTTAACGTAATTTCATGGTTGTATTTGTCTCGCTTGACTTTCAAAAAACTTACAAGGGGTTCTAAAAATACTGTATATTCATAAACAATTTATGTTATTACAGAAGTGTACCCCTATCTGTGCTAGCTTGTCTTTCTCATGAAAATTAGCCAATTTCTGTTTTATATCAAACTGATGTATTAATGTGTATTTATTTTTATTTACGTCAACTATAGATTAATGTCAGGTGTATCATATTTAAATGTTCTCTTCATGATGAGTAGTGGCTATACACACATTAAGTTCGAAACTTTCATGTTGTTCAATAAGAGTGCCTCCACTTGAACTGTATCTCTCTCAAGAAGATATAATTAAAACGGATGTGAAGTCCACAAGTCATCAGTTTATTTATTACTAAAAATATATACGAGTTTTTTAGAAATAGATTAACTATTTTTTAAGAATATTATACCCAGACATCGACTATCAAGGCTTAGAGTTTAGCATTTATGACAAGAAAGCATTTTTTTTTGTATCTGTTATATCTGTTTTGTATTTTCTGTTTATACATCTCAGGAAGACAAACAGCCGGGATTTCCTGTTGTTAGTTTTGCCGTCACTGATGAAGATATTGCACCAAACACTGGACCATTTGTTTTTAGCATTATTTCTGGTAACGAGAATACTTCTTTCCACATATTACCTCAAGAAAGCGTCTTGAGAACTGCCAAGAAACTGAGTTATCATTACCGGAACAGTTACACATTGTGCGTCCAGGTTACTGATGCAGGTCTCCCCCCTCTCAGCAGCCAAGCTTGGGTGACCGTCCTCATTGTTGAAGAAAGCCGTTTTGCTCCAACCATAATTCCACTCCAGATCACAGTGACTTCCTTCGGGGTTCGGTTTCCGGGAGGTGTTCTGGGCCGTGTTCGAGCGACCGATCAAGATCCTTATGACACTTTGACCTTCGACATTGTCTCTCCTCACAAAGAACTATTTCAAATCAATCACGAGAACGGAACTATATCAGCAGTACCGAGTTTGGATCCCGGTGAATACAGTATCAACATAAGTGTGACTGATGACAAATTTACTTCCATTAAAACTGTTACCATCCAGAACAACGTATTAATAGAAGAAGCCGTTAAGCATAGTGTAGTTGTTCGCATAGCAGACATCAGTCCTGAACGCTTTATTCAGCTTTACCTAGAGGTCTTTCTTGAGTTTATTCGAATAATTCTTCATGTTCCGTTAAAAAACATTCAAATTATCAGCATACAAAAGGTAAAGACAAACTTTACCCGGACTAATAAAGAGTCACACGCTGACCTCGACGTGCTGTTCTGTGTTAGAAAAAGACCATCGAGTTTTTACCCTTCTGATTTAATCCGAGGCGAGCTAAAAGAAAGGGTGAAATCACTCCAGACTGATGTGGGATTAGAAATACAGGAGGTGTGTTATTTTGATACTAGCAGTTTACTTATACTGAGTCTAGCATGGCCTAGTGATTAGGGGCGCTCAACTTGCAATCTGCGGGTCGTAGGTTCAAATCCCCTTCTTCGAACATGCTCGCTCTTTCAGTCGTGGGGGCGTTATAATGTGACGGTCAATTCTAATATTCGTTCGTAAGAGAACAGCCCAAGAGTTGGTATTGACTAGCTGAATTCTCTCTGTTTTTCACTGCCAAATTAGGGACGATTACCTGGATGTGAGATGGGCGCTACCACTTAAAATCTGCCCGAGAATCACTGATTATGCATCAGCTTCTGAGGTGCCCCAACAGTTATAAGCAGCCTCGGGATTAAAAAAACAAAAAACAATTACTTATATTATGTAAAATTTTCATCATAGATGCCCAACAACTTTAAATCTTTTTTTTTTCACCAAATTTCTTGCCCTCCCCCACTGGGTCAGCGGTACTTAATACGCTAAAATTTGAGATTCGATTCCCCAAAATAGACAGAGAGCAGATAGTCCATTGAGTAGCTTTACACTAAGAAAAAACAACAACAACAAATTTCTGTTTAAAAACACACATACCTATATTTAAAACCTTTTGCTTCACACGTATCATGTGTCTACTGGATTTGTTATCAAAATAGGATCACTGTTCGGTAGTGAAGAATGTTTTTATTTAATTTTATGTAATTTTAGAAGATTACAGTCGTTTAAACTAGAGTAGTATACAAGGCAACCTGTGGAATTACAGTCCAGTAGCAGTTCAATAAGTAAATTCTTAATCACATCGTAATCTACAGAAACAATTCCTATAAATGAAAAAATTGGCATACGTTTGCGAATTTACAATTCCTATCGATGAGACAGCAATAAATTCCATTGTAGTTTTTAACTCTTCTTTTATTAGTGCGAGTGAATAGTTGATTTCAGTTTCAAGATCGAAACTTGTCTCAGAACCCTCTAGTGTAACGGGTTTTAAAAATCAATATAGCGACTTCTCTGTGTATACAACACGTAAAGTAAGTAAAGGAAAAGAAAGTATAATATAGTAGTAACAGCCACTATGTTAATTAAAGATTTTGGGAGTTACACATTCTGTTGACTTTTTTTTTTTACCAAAAATCGTTCGGTGATTTTTTTTCGTTGTATTTTCATATTTGTGTCAGCAGGTGTTAGCGAGATTAACTACTCTCTAGTAGCAACTGCACTGTACATGCTCACAATCTGTGTTTAGCCTTTCATTCGATACGGCTCTTTATTGGATTGATATGATAAATTAACGAAGCTGTTGTAGAAACTAATGTCTCAGTCGTTATAATAATTTATCTTATAATGTTTTTGTTTTTCTTTCAAAAGTTATTCTTATTTATGCACATTTAGAAAGCAACAAATATTTTAATAGTAAGATTAATCTAGTTTTTTTAGTAAGATAGACAGATAGGCAGACATAAAGATAGATTCATAGATAAGAAGACAGACAGATAGAAGTAGGTAAATAAATAAAAGGAAAATAAATAGTAAGAAGGTAGAAATCGACACAAAGATAGTCGCAAAGAACAACTGGTATATTTATCGAAGATAGATAGATAGATTTAATGAGATTTGTGACTATACTTATAGATCTTGGCTGACCGATGCTCCCCAGGGACATGTGAGAAAGGAGATTGTGTTGATAAAATACAGATGGATGACAGTGACATTCAAGTCATCAGTGTGGATACCCGGAGCTTTGTGTCACATCGGTTTCATCGAGTGTTTAACTGTCATTGCGAGTCAGGCTACGGAGGTAAGTTAAATATAAATGTTTAAGTCTTTCTCCTATAGAAGAAGAAGAAGAAGAATTCACTGATAGAAATGAAGACTTGTATACGTCGCATGAAACTTTGTGTCGTATCATTTTCATTGATTATTTTTCTGTCACTGTGAGACGTTGCGGAATGATACATAAGAAAATATTATCCAGATTCGTGTTTATGTAACATACTCTTACCTACAGTAATATTTAAGACTACAGCTTATTGATGCAACATTTATTCCAAACAAACACGGGACGATATAGAAAAATCACTCAGTGGTTCTCAAGTACAATTCAGGTAACTGGCTTTGCATAATTTCATACGGAAGCTGCTTACATATGCAACTCCAAAATGTATTGTTAACGGGTGTGCCTTATTTAGCCAATAAGTGTATTTTGCATTGCACGTTATCAGTGTTTGAAATTGGCTAATCCAGTGCTGCTTATTTCGTGTATTGAGTAAAGCTGAAACTCTCGGAAAACGTTCAGCACGATGGTCTTGGTTTGTTTGGATGTTTGATGTTAACAACAAGGCTACACAATGGGCTATCTGTGCTCTTCCCACCACGGGTATAGAAACCCGGTTTCTAGCGTTGTAAGTCCACAGACATATCGCTGTGCCACTGGGGGGGGGGGGTGATCTTGGTATTTGATGCTAAACTTGTACGTAACACCTGCTGTCTGCCGTATAAGTTCATGTATAAACATTAAGTTGTACAATTTCTTATCCTGCTAAAGAAGAATTTTTAAACGTTAATTAGGTTTCTCGCTTTTAATCTGCTAATAAAACGTATTGAATAAAAAAAAATTCCAAGAAATAGATCTGTCTGCATGCTCCTAGCGCTATCTTTTGGTAACTTATGAAAAATGCTTTGTTCTATCTGCATAATAATAAGTTCAATCCTAAATATAAATTTATATGTTGCCTTTCAATATTTTCTACTGGATACTTACAATATGTTTTTATTCGTGTTTTTATATATACAAAAAAAAATGTATCTGGTCATGTCCGTATTTATTTATATTCATAGATATAATATTCAAGATAATTTGAACTTGTTCATTGTCGGATATGCAGAGTTAACCTGGTGAAACGTTGTAACCATAACAATACACACTGTATATCCGCCCCCACCCACTGGCCCAGCGGACTTACAACGCTAGAAACCGGGTTTCGATACCCGTGGTGGGCAGAGTACAGATAGCCCATTGTGTAGCTTTGTGCTTAACTTCAAAAACAAGGTGTATATCCGACAATAAACAGGTTTTATGTTTTACATAACAGGTACTTCCTTTAATTGTTTAGTTTGAGGTCATTATTTGTGGCTGTTTAGCAACATCTAAAGTTCGTAAATAATATTTGTTTCATTTTTATGTGCTCTGGCATTTATTACCACAACAGTTAAGGCTGAGCTTCGGATTTTAAGAAAATATAATTCGGCGTATTCTTTACTTTAAGACATTAATGCTGTTGCTTTAAAGATGATTTGACATAAAACGGCTTAATGTCTCTTTGTACAAATATATCAATTGGTAATTTTATGTTTTCAATAATCTATGAAACATTTCTTTATATTGAATTACTAATTCAAACGACCAAGTCAGAATCAGAATTACCTTTTTAGTTCATTCTGATAAGTAACGCTTCTCCCTGGAAGAGTTCATTTAAAATATCTCTCAGACCAGCACCATTTATATAAAGCCTTTTAACGATCACTTTCTAGTTGTTAAAATTTAGTTTTTTGCATATTTCGACAGATGGTGCGATTAAAGAGTTTAGTGTGGTGTGGTTGACTTTCGCCTTAAACTACTTGGGAGCTATTTGCGTTAGCAGTCCATAATTTAGCAGTGATAGTTAACACCACCCACCGCTAACTCTTAGGTTACTCATTTATCAACAAATAATAGGATTGATCGTCACGCTATAACGCCTCCATGGCTGAAAGGGCAAGCATTTTCGATGAGAGGGATTGGAATCCACGAACCACAGATTGCGAGTCGAGCCGGGCTCCACTTAAAAAGGAATGATTTGGTTGAGTGTCAAAATACGTTAATATTTCTGTTTTAAAATTGTTAGTAGCTAAAGGAAGAAATTAATTTTTTTAAAAGTCAATCTCAAGCGTATACAACATATTTTTAAGTTAAAAAATTCATATTGTATATTAATCACATTTTTTCAACATGACTATTTCGTATTGAAACTGCTGTTTAGTTTTATTGTTGCTTTATGTCATTTATTGTTGTACGCCCGTAATTGGCGATGCTCTTTAATCTGGTTATTTGATTATGTATTTCATACAGTCAGTTGAATGAGTAGCCATGCGATAAGCCTAGTTTTAAGTTACATCTGTTTTATTTCTCGCAGGCTCACGGTGTGAAAGGGTAATCAACGAATGCGCCCGCCGTCCCTGCTCCTCCCAGAAAGTCTGTATTCCTACCACGTCAACACTCGGTTATATTTGTGAATGCCCCAGAGGAAAAGCAGGAATCTTGTGCGAAGATGAAGCAAGCATTTGCAAAGGACCGTTTTGTTACAAAGGTACAATTACTCTTCAGGACTGTAAACACAACACAAACTTATACCTCTACATACAATAGATTGTGCATGGCAGCATGTTAGTCAAGTAAATGTTTGTTATTAAACTATTCGTTGTATGCTAAACATCTTAATGCAAAACTTTTGTACCCAAATTTTTGCACGTCTCCTGTAGATTAGACCACCCCTTTTTGTTATATCGGTAACATGATTGGCACTCGTATCTTTTTTCTCTTTGTTCTATAGTCTAAGAGCTTAATTTTTCTCTTTTGCAATAAATTTTCTAAAAATCGTTAAGCCTTTCCGCTTCTTTCCAAACTTGTATCAGTACAGCAGCTATTGACTTCCCCCATACCAAAGCAACTCTGATAAATTATCTGTAATAATATATTTTCTCATGGAGACTTTCATATTGAACTATCTCAGAGAATCATTTGTCCTTTGATCTTTTGACCTGGCTACTATGTCAGGCTCATGTTTTAGTTCATCTAATAAAATTTTGCATTGTCACGAATTCGAAGGCCCGGCATGGCCAGGTGGTTAAGGCACTCGACTCGCAATCTGAGGGTCGCGGGTTCGAATCCCCTTCACGCCAAACATTCTCGCCCTTTCAACCGTGGGACGGTCAATCACACTATTCGTTGGTAAAAGAGTAGCCCAAGAGTTGGCGGTGGGTGGTGATGACTAGCTGCCTTCCCTCTAGTCTTACAATGGTAAATTAGGGACGGCTAGCGCAGATAGCCCTTGTGTAGCTTTGTGCGAAATTAAAAACAAAAAAAAAATCGAAATGGGTCGAAAGTGACCTAGTGGTGAGAGCGCCAGACTGTCTATCTGAGGGTCTCTAATTCGCGTTCCGTGGTCGCAAAATCGCACTCCGCACTTTAGTGCTGTGGGTGCATTATAAATGTCGTTGGCGGTGGGTGTTTTGGGCAAGCTTCCTTTCCTCTAGACTACCAGCTCAAAATTAGAAATGGCTATGCACTAATAGTCCTTTATAATTTTGCGAGAATACCTGAAACAAACAAACCCATCTCGAAGATGTACATCCCAGACTAGTCCTCGTGGGATTTGTTAACTGTTTACTTTTGAAGCTCTGCAGATTTTTCATCTATGTGATGTGATTTTATACTTTACCAAAGGACTCGTTATGATAGCTAATAAAATATCTTTTTTTGCTTTTCATCACAACGAATTTTTTAAGATCTGGACAGTTGTTACAAGTTGGCTTTCATTACTCTCTGGGTGTATTTCAAGTGTCAGCTATGCTTTTCCCAGGTGAATTTTAACACTCTCTCACTCCCAATTCGACCATCGACATAACACTTCCAACTGTCAAAGGCTTTTAAGCTTTCCTAGCCCTTCATTATCCGTGGACTCTTTTGTATACGTTCGTTATTTTGTAGACGTATTTCGATTCAGTCTAACTGAGGTGAAAAACATTAACAGGTATTTTAGTTATGACTGTATGTTAAACGTCAGCTCTGTTTAAAAGTTTAAATGATCATTATGTTAAGGAAAGTTCCTAATTAAGTTATTTATCCGTTGATTTTAAACATTTGATAAATATTTAAGTAAAAGTGCTAGAAAATTATTTTGACTACTTTCTAAAATAGTACACTAGTTTAGCTGCTTTTCTTAAGGGAAAAGGGCTTCTTCTTGTAGAAAAAAACAGCATTTCGTTTGGTGGAAGAAGTTTCGCCCAGTACAACCTAAACGGGCCCGTGGAGCATCATTTCGCTGTCCACTTACACGTCAGAACTGTCCAGACCACTGGGAACCTTATGTTCGCCGCTGGAAGAAAAGATTACAGCATTCTTGAAGTAAACTCTCATATAACAAGTAGTTAATTAGTTAATTCTTAAGATTACACTAACTTTCAATCTTTTTCTTCTCACACGATATTTTAAAGCAAAAGTAAAAATAAGTGTATTATTTTCTTCACACATATGTCTCCGGAACAAGACACAAACTAAGGTTCCCCCCCACCCCCAGGTAGAGTAGTAGTGCATTTTAGGATTTACAATGCTGAAATCCGGAGTTCGATTCCCCTCCGTGGACAGAGCGGAGACATAGTCTATTCTGAAGCATTGCACAAAACAACTAAATAAACTAAGGTATAGCGCTAATTAAAAAGTGTACGTGTATGTGCTTTAATAAACTAATTATATGGAATGATTATAATTTGAGAAATAACGAATAAAATAAAAAGTTCGCGCTAAGGAAATGGATAGAACAGTCCATTGTAACAATTCGCAAATATCAGTAACTGAACTGGGTCTTTTTTTGTTTCTGTGAAATGTTAAATGGATGTCTAGTGTTATTGGAGTCACCTATATACACACATATATCATTTAAACTTTTAATAATAAGCCCAAATATAAAAGGGACAATTGCTCTATAGCAAGAATGGATTTATTTTAATGTTAATGGCAATAATTTATTCCATTAATGAAATCGGGCGTGTATAGTGGTTAGCGTGTTCTAACTGTGAATTCGAGAGTTTACAGTTCGTGTCCCATTTCTTCAAACATTCGCCCCATACTTTGGGGTCATGAGTTCTCTATACATTGGCAATGAGATTCTACTATGAAGTCAAACAATAGTATCTAGAGAGTTGGCAGTTAGTACTGTTGACTAGCTGCCTTCGCAGTAAAAACACCCAATTTACTAAAACGGCTCAGAGATCTTACTCATTGAGCCTCAGCCACACACTTATGTGTTGCAATGATGTTAAATGGTAATGTGACTGAAAGAATAGTTATGTTCAATGTGATAATTAACAGCATGAATTAGTGTGCAGAAATAAAACCGTAAAGAACTTACTTTGGTCAAGGGGGGACAACCGATACAGCTTATCTGGGTCCGAGTTAGACTTTTAATTGTTTTTTAATTTGATAAAACACTTGTCCATCGAAGTTCTTGAAATATTTTTTTACTTTACACCATGATTGATTCAAATAGGTTAAGTTGAATTTCTTCTTCATGAGTGACATTTAAGTGAGATTTTGTTAAAAAGGAGTAAAATTAATTACAAGGGTTTCTACCAAAATAAGTACTATCAGTGTGAGCTTGCTATAATGAAAGAGAGGAATTCTCAAACAATTTGTACCGGGACCTAAAATTCATTGCTGCGACCCTGCCTCTGATAGTAGTTTTTTTTGTGTTTTTTTTTTCTTATAATGTTATAAAATTTTCTAGCATAATAAATATTAAAAAAAAACATCTCTAAGTAAACACAAATAAAGCCCATTATTATAGAATTCCTGTAAAGTTGAATTATAGTAAATACATTTTCGTTAGAGGGGCCGTTTAGTCACGCTTACCTAAAGTCCAAATTGAATCCTTAACCCTATGATAATTAATACAGCAGTGCTTATATTTAAAGCGAATTTTATGTTGTTAACAGCCAAACATTATATATAGATGTGCATATGTTATGTACTGTGAGCAATACTATATCTTTTTTTAAATAAAAATAAGTAAATTATACTACGGCTATTTGCATGTTAATCAAACCTGTTACTATAGGAACGTATAGAATGAGACTTACATGTCGAGAAATTGAAGTTCTGTCTCTAGTCGGTTTTTCATTATATGAAATCCTATATAAGGTACATTGTATTTTCAAAGAAAATGTCATGTTCAATTGATGTAACAATCCATTAGATTTTGTAAAGCTTCCACAAATTTATTTTATTGCTAGTTGTCATGGTAAAATGTAGGGTTTCAGTCCACAAGTATTATCAGCTAGTTCTGTAGTACCAGTATCAGAACGTTAAAGTGTGGAAAACATAAGACTTTATCCATTTTAATTCAACATGTTACACGGTTTGACGTAATATAACAGAAGACGTTTTGTAATGAACTGATGACTCCATATATTGTATTTTCTCTTCGTTATCCAGATGATCAATGGAGTTGTTCAATACAAGATGGATTTTGGTAGTGGAGAAGGTATTGTTCGTGTGGAGGACATCAAGCTGAACGACGGCACGTGGCATGAAGTCAAGGTGGATCGTAGAGGAAGCAGAGCGACTATCACTGTAGACGGCCAAGCTGAACAAACGGGAGCCGCTCCTGGCGTTCACGACTTATTAAACCTAGACGGAAATGACGTGTATTTCGGAGCAGAAGTCAGATCTCCGAGATACGATGACGTCAGAATGGGATTTATAGGATGTATGGACGATATTCGCATCAATGGAGTGGAGTTGCCTTTACACCTGAACGGAGCTGATAACATCCCCAGCCTCCGCAGGTAGAAAAATAGAACACCGTCACGAGTTTATCTCATTCTTTAACGTATAAAAACATTTCTTTTTTTTATGGATGCAGTATTTGGTTGTAGAAACATGCGAGTTGTATTGCATAAATACTTTTTAGGCTCTATTCAACACTAAGTTTTAATTAACTACCTAATTTTATAAACACCTGACATTTTAGTTGTATGGTATAAGTATCATCGGAAATATTTAAAAACGGCAATTCTTAATCAATTCACTATATAGATTTTTTTATTTTCTGTTGAAACAAGATTATTGTTAATTTTTATTTGATCTGCATTTACTATTAGATGTTTTTAGATATTATATAGTTTCTTTCTACTATTTAGGTTTGTGAATGTGGAATTCCGTTGTGGGGAATTGATTGATCCTGGGATCTGCGGAAAGCAACCTTGTTTACACGGCGGCACCTGTAAAGATAATGAGAGCTCTTTCACTTGTCTATGCTCGGCCCGTTATCTTGGTATTCGATGTGAAATAGATACAGATCCATGTGCCTCCAATCCTTGTCTCTATGGCGGTACTTGTAATAATTATACTAATGGTTACCAGTGCAAGTGCCTTCCAGGCTACAGTGGCAAGCGGTGTGGGTATGGTCACTTCTGTAATCCCAACCCTTGCAGTAACGGGGGAATTTGTGAAGAAGGGACTTACGGACCAGTTTGCAAGTGTCGGGGTTTCCATGGTGACAGGTGCCAACTAGATCTGGACGAATGTCAAGCTGAGCCTTGTGGAGATGGGGCAACGTGCATCAATTTTCATGGAACATTTCAGTGTCAATGTCAACCCAACATGACAGGCCCTCTCTGTACAGAACCTCTCTTTACCTCGTCCATCACATCCACAAGCATGAATACTACGTTGGAAGAAATCATTGGTATCGTATTAATGGTAGTGTTCCTTCTGGTTACCTCGATCGGGCTAGTGTGTTGCTGTAAACGTTATCACCGCAAGTGCCGCCGGATACAGCGAAGCGAAAACGTACAGGAAGACTCCACTGCAAATGAATTGATGGTAAAAAATTCAATGTTTCATCGAGATGATCCCAAACATATAACTAAGCTGTGTCCTCTGGAAGAGACTTCTTTCACCAGACCTGCAGTACCTCCTCGACCCAAGGTGTACACACCTACAATACAAGAGCCCTTCCACAATCTGATCAACGTCAGATCTTACGACCAAGTCACTGAAGACTTGGAAACATTTCCTCGATACAGCACAGCTTTTCCGCGTATTATAAAACAGCCACAAACAATCCGAAATCTGCCGTCGATCTCGAACCTGACGTCATCACACAGGTCCTCTGTCTGTAGCAACAACACGGATACAGAAGAAGGCCTGGAAGAAAGAGTCCAGAATGGTAAAACAAAGGCTCTCATTAAATTAAATGTCACTTCATGTATACATTTCGACAATTTATTCATTAATCGTAAAGCAATTATAGTTATGCACAGCTGATTAAGTTTGTTATACAAAAGGCAGAAGTGGCTTTCTGGTTAGTATTGTGTCAAGATTGTTTTTATTGCCCCTTTCTCAAACATTAACACAGAAAATGTCTATTGAAGCTTTTTTCATTTCTGGTTAAGCTCTCGAGAAAAGAATAGCCATACTTTTCGTTTTGGAATTAAATTCGAGCGTCGACTGAGTAAAATAATCTATAGACAGATTTTTTTATAACTATTTGAATTCGTTCTAAAGATGATCAAGCAAGAGTAATATATTAAGTAAAGTATGAACAATTACTGTTAACGTATAATCATTTTGTTTTGTTATTGTTTGTTCAGTTTATGTATTTATTTTTTAAACTTCTACATTGTTGTTGTTTTCGTAGCGCGAAGCTACACAGTGGGCTATCTTCGCTCTGTCAATCGCGGAGAATCGAATCCCGGATATTAGTGTGTAAGCTATAAACTTACCGCTGACTCACTCGGGGAAAATTGTTTGTTAGAGAGCATAGCCACATATATCGACCTGCTACGTTCATCGCAAGGAATCGAATCCCGGGTTTCAACGTTGTAAGTCCGTAGACTTACCGATGTCCCACCACGGGACCCCGGAGATACATTTCTATGTATAAGCAGAAAAAATGAGGACGTTGTATTTAGTGTTTTTAACCAGTAATTTCAAACAAATATAAGTGTTTCTATCAAAACAAATAGAATCAGAAAACTGATTATATAATATCAATTTCTGTTTTCTCTATATTACGACTAAGTGCTCTCTTTCTACTTTACATTTCGACTAGTAAATAACAGATTTTATAAAAAAAATTCATATAGAGTATTTATTTTTTATTTTACCAGATAACTGTGAACTTAAAAATGAAGAAAATCTTCATCAAGGTAAGAAAAAAATTAATTGTTTCACAATTTTCAAATTAATGTAAATTAACGCTCCAAAGTCCTGGTTTGGTTGTATGTCGTACAGTAATTGGTTTGTTTCCGTACTGTCTTGGTTGTTGTAAATGCTGTAGTCCTTGTTTGATTATATGTACACAACTTACTAATAATGAAATATAGACTCGCTCCAGAAACGATGTAGTTTATTTAAATAAACAAACATGAAATAAAGGGTAGAAGGTTATCATTAATGTTTCAACCAACTGCAACATTTAATGTAAAAACAGGGTACACATCGAGTTTACAAGATCAAAAACAGACCTGTAAGATTGTACTCCACTGCTGTTGAATAACATCGACGAGAGTGTTTCTAGAAGCTGGTTATTTGAGAGAGAGGATTGACCACACATACTCAATAGGGCACATATCTGGCAACGGAAGAACGGTAATGCCTAAACCTTCAAGTTGTCGTTTTGCGACTCGGTGAAAAAGCAAGAACCCAACCTTGCACGAATGCTCTGCCTTATCTCTTAGACTGGTTGAAGGTAGACAAGAAGAAGGACTTGCCTGAAGATTTTCATGCATCGAGAAGCAGTGACCATCTCTTCTCACACCACTTGCTGTGATCGTCCACTGGCCTTAATGGCACTCCACACCCGAACAGAAATGCCACATCTTGTAATGGCTTGCAGACAGCTTAACGAAAGGTCTTGAAAGGATAACTGCCAAGCCCAGGCGTGTCCACTATCTGAGAATTGTATACAACTCTGAACTCTTCGGAAAATTTACAATGCCCCAAAAGGTAACAGGGTGTGATAGCATTTGACATGACCACTGCTGTCGACTTACGATATTGCCTGGAGTGAGGAATGGCATCTGCCGTTGTATCCAATGCTATAAAAATAACTTCTGATGAAATTGGAGCAAATTTGCACCTGTACTGCAACAGTAACATCCATTGAAAGTGGGTCAATCTCCACACTTCATCTTCCAGCGCAAATAGTCCATTCTATTAGTTTTGGGCTCGGAGCCGTGCAAAAACTGCTGTTTTCTGACGTGATGGATCTGCATTGTCCGCTCTATTCAATGTGGACAGCAGTATTGTAAGTGACCTAGTGATTGATTTCTCGCTAACTTCGACCGCCCACACACCACCCAATTATATGACCTCGTGACAATATGATAAAATCCTTTCGTTCGTGGCATAGCTATTGGTACTCTGTTTTTATCAGTTATACCTGTATTTTATGTCAGGGTTATTTGACAATTACGTCACGGAGTCGATCGATTTGTATTATCAAGGCTGTTTATTCATTTATTAGTGGACTGTGTACTGGTTTGTTATGGCACTGTCCTCCTAGATGTAAATTATGGTTCCAGACCTTGTTTGAGTGTATACACTACAGCAAATGTAGACAGTAGTAGTAGTCTTGTTCGATTGTAAGTTCTGAAAAACTTGACTATTTCGTTTGCAATGCCAGGTCTTTACATTTATATATAACTAGCAGACGTATCCGTGCGATGCAGGGTAAAAAGTTTATGAAAGTTAACAAATCATTTATATAAGCTTATGGAGAAGGATCATTGTTTCGTTTTATCTTTACTGTGGTTTGTGGCTATTTATGCAGAAACCGGTCCAGATTGGTATGTAAATACCCTATTGCTATGTACATAGAGAGGGATATCTCCATTTACCTTCATACCATTAAGAGATGTATTTGATTTGTCTAGATAGTTAGTAGTACCTCATTAATGAACGGAAAACTAATTATATATATTATTTTTTACATGCTCATAGCAAGTTGTGTATATAATAAAGCACACACTGTTTATAGATGTTGTTATGAGGTGTTTATATCAATGAATAGCGAATCCCTCAACTGACTGATGGGACTTGGAAACAAAACTTTTAACAATTATGAATATAATTTTTTTTTCTCCTAAATATGCTAGTGGCAACATAAAGATTGAAAGTACATGATAATAAAATTATTTATGTCCACTGAGCTTGATTATTTTAAAAATATTATTCTATATTTTAGTTTTTTTATCGACAATATAAGTAACACGTAACTTAAACCCTCTCACTTAATACAAGTGTGTCTATCTTGAAAGTATGTATAAACAATGTGTGAAAATAAGATCGTTCACGTAATACAAGTGTGTCTATCTTGAAAGTATGTATAAACAATGTGTGAAAATAAGATCGCTCACGTAATACAAGTGTGTCTATCTTGAAAGTATGTAAAAACAATGTGTGAAAATAAGATCGCTCACGTGATTGATGGGGTTTGAAAACTAAATACTATTGTAAAATTAATGTTTGGCCAGTTATGAATATAAATAGTGTTTCTGTTCTTATCCCAAACATGCCAGTCATTACTGAAAGTACATAGACTGCATGTATACCACATGTAATAAAAGATGAAACTGGAGAAATCCCATCAGTATCTCTATTGGCCACCCCACTGACTGATCTATATTTAGACAACACTGGAATTATGAAATATCTGCATTTTAAAAGAAAAATAAATTTGTCTTGACACATTCCGAATCATTCCTTGTTGATTAAACCATATTTGACAGATCGAAACGTAAACACCTATGAGGAGTTAGAAAACTGTGAACAGTCCATAAACTATCTAACTATTATTATTATTATTAAACCATTAACAAAGTGATAGTTTTAATTCTATAACACCTACGAGGAGTTAGAAGGCAAATAAACAAACTTCTCTGAAATTATAGTAGGATTTGTAACTGTGAACAATCCATAAACTATCTAACTATTATTATTATTATTAAACCATTAACAAAGTGATAGTTTTAATTCTATAACACCTACGAGGAGTTAGAAGGCAAATAAACAAACTTCTCTGAAATTATAGTAGGATTTGTAACTGTGAACAATCCATAAACTATCTAACTATTATTATTATTATTAAACCATTAACAAAGTGATAGTTTTAATTCTATAACACCTATGAGGAGTTAGAAGACAAATAAACAAACTTCTCTGAAATTATAGTAGGATTTGTAACTGCGAACAATCCATAAACTATCTAACTATTATTATTATTATTAAACCATTAACAAAGTGATAGTTTTAATTCTATAAATCACATCAATTGTACACCACTATATGATGAACAAAACAAGGCCAAACAAAAAAAATAAATTAAATACACTGCATAAATTAAAGGGATCCCCAGGATACAGGCTATAATGTGGGATATAAAATGTGTCCTGGGTTTTGGAGGTAACTGCGGAAGTAGGACCCATATTTCGATGGAGATACACCGTCTATCAGTCACTTCGTTCGCCAGTCTCACGTGAAAAAAATTATAGAAAATCAAGTAAAATCATAAAAAAATACATTTGGAGTTATACTAGTTAGTTTAAATAACTTGGTTGGGATTTTATAACTCTATACCAGTTTAATTTATCTACAGTACTACTAATTATTTTAAGTTAGTGCTTTACTACTATAATGGGAGTTGGAATGCCAACCTCAGAAGGTAAGTTTATCTTACTTAACCCCAAGTGGTAGTACCTTATTTCGTTTTTATTTTTCAGTTTGCAGAGTATTCACCTTCCCACAACTGTCTGCAGGCAGTGAAAGGTGATATAGATGTGGGATTTCGTGGGCTAGAGCCCCCACATCTCGCTCTCCTAACTTGTATTTATTTTGATAATTTCATGTTTTTTTTGTTTTTTGTTTTTTTTTTGTTTTATTAGTTTCTTCGTGTGAGATTGGCGAACGAAGGTTAAGGCTGATAGACAGTGTATCCCCACCGCAATGTGGGTTCTACTTCTGCATTCACCTCCAAAACCTAGGACACATTTTATATCTCACATTATAGCGTGTACCCTGGGGATCCTTTTAATTTATGCAGCGTCTTTAATGTATTTTGTTTTTTGTTCGGGTTTGTTTTATTCATTTAAATATCATTTATTACAGGTTTGGATTTGCTGTTTTTAACGCAGTCCTTCCTTTTGATTTGATTTTACTTGAGTGTTTAAGCATTAATTTTCTATACATATGTATAACCAAAACATCAATAAGGTTCACTTGTAGATATGAATAAGAAAATACTGAAATATCAGACTTTTTCCCCCTTCTTTTATTAATTTCTTCTACCGGTTTCGTGACTTCAAAGTTCAGTCTTCAAGAAAGAGTTTTACTGAGAATCTGTAACAAAAAACATACAAATACTGCTTATAATAATAATAAGAAGAAGAAATATAATTAGAATATGATTTTAATTTAAAAAGAAAAGCATAGTGTCTAATTTTACTTATTTTTGAACATTTGTAATGTACTTAATTTATACATGAACTGTATTATATGTTTGTACGTTTGGAAAGTATATGTATTTAATGTAGTTTGTTTATGCTTAGTTTGTAGAGTGAACTTTGAAGCCACGAAACCGGTAGAAGAAATTAATAAAGGAAGGGGGGAAATTCTGATATTTCAGTGTTTTCTTATATATATAACAAAACCAGAATCTTTATTGAGAAATTCCAAACTAAAGCCATTATTCGTAACAGGTTTCAACAATGTAAATTTATCAAAAACTTTATGAATAACTACATATATAAGAACGTTAATTAAAAATCGTACCGTTTAGCAATGGTTTTAGTTTTCAATTTCATACTAGACATCTCGGTTTTGTTTTATATTTATAAAGTGGTGTTTTATTTTTTTCTGTTAATGTTTCCTTTTCCATATTTTCACAACTTACAAGAAGTAAATTATGTAAATAATGATAAAATGTGTTGGAAAAAAGAGAAATTGAACAAAGTAGTTAAGTAAAACGCGTATGCAAAGCATAATCATAAAATAATTTTTAGTGACTAAATAATTATCATAAAATGTTTATAGATTAAATATCGTTGCTGTTGTTATCTTGATATAAAATACTGTCTTTGTTTATCTTATGATGTAGATTTTAACATGGACAAAGTATACTCTGGAACAACCGTTTGCGCTCATCAGTGTATATCGTCAACTTCTCCGCTAGAGGGTGTTGTGCAGAGTCCAGATGGGGAAGTTCAGCTTGTGCCTAATAGCGAAAGTCATTATCACGCGTGTTTAGATCACAGCTATGAAAAATTGAAGTGTGATAACTCTGAAATCGAAGCTGAAAATGAAAGAACTATTCCACTTCAACCATGCCACGGTGTTGAGTTTTATACAGATGTGACGTATAACAACAAACATTGTACAGTAGCGCCCTCTTTAGAACATTCCAAAGATGATGTCTGTAAGGACTCGCCTCCCAGGGTCTGTCAGATACGTTGCGATCGTGAGTCATGCGCGTGCGTGAAAGAATCAGTTAGTGACTTATCAGATGACGACATAGTTTCTTACGGTTTTCCATCACAGGGGGGTCGAGGGTTCATGCTGGAATTAGCCTGAAGTCTTAGTGAACCCCATATCCACAAAAGTTGAGATTGGCAACCCAGTTCGAACAGTCAATTCACCCACTTTCATTTCATGTCTCACAATATCGCGCCAAGGTTCTGTGACGATGAAAAGTTTGTGGTTGTATACAACAGGCTTTCTTCTGTGTTGCCTGGTGTGTAAGTATGGAAACTAACTACTGCGTATACACCGCTGGAAATACGGAATGAATTACTAGATTTATAGAAACAGTTATTTATACTTGTTTACTGTAAATGCAGTTTATCAACTGAACGCTATTGGTTTGTTGTGACAGTGAGTTTTGTCTTGGCGTTCATATGTTATATTATTACTAAATATATTGTCAGATAAAAATACTTTTTCGTATTAACATGATTTTGTCTCTCTCTTTTTTTTAATTTTTTCCCTCCGTTATCAAATATCATAAAATCGCATGGTTTATAACGCCAAATTAGCGACATGTTTCAACGTAAGACCTTGCATGTTGTAACCCATTTGGCGAAATGGGTTATGTTCTTGTGCAAAAGTCTATTTAAGCAGCGCCCTACAACGGATAAAATATACAATTCAAATTCCGTTATACTCACTTCTTGCTAGAAACAATAATGAGCCAAATACGAGTAACGTTTTTAGGTAACACACTATTCTCAAGTTTCATCATATTGAATACTCAAAAAAAAAAGAAGTAAATCATAAAAGTTTTCAGTGAAACCGGGAAAAAAAAGTACCTTAACTACGTGGTACTAATAAAAATATTGCTTCTGCTGTCATAGTTTTGTCGATTTAAAAAAAATGTAACAAAAACAGCACATATATATAAAATGATGGAAATTAATTAAATGAGAAGAAATATAGATATATTTATGAAAACGTCTTTATAAATTGCATAATACATTTTCACCTTTTCTCGTCTTCAAAGATACACATGTACGCGTAAAAGCTTTCTCTTGCAAATCAATTGACAAAGAAAATGGCCAGACTGGCTGACAGGATTTTGAAAGAAGCAAAGCTGAAAACGCAGAAGTAACTACAGAAAAACAAAGTGTCTAATTTTAAGCGTATTAATAATTAGTCCAGCAACTGGTGTTTTATTATTATTATTATTTTCCTACTAACAACATAACATTCAGTCTAATTTTGAACATATTAATATCGAGTCCAGTAACTTAAAATAGTATTTACACAAATGATATTTTCCTTTTAAACAAGTATCCCCGGTGGGACATCGGTAAGACTACGGACTTACAACTATAAAATACGAGGCTCGATACCCCACGGTAGACATAGCAGATAGCCCAATGAGGGTTTGCTCTAAAACAAAAAAATAAACGTTTAAGCAGAGTCGGCTGTGACCTAGTGATCAGTGTGTCGTGCTGAGGATCGGAGAGTCCAGGCTGAATACATTCATCAATTTCAACTGTGGTCACGATATAAAAGTGACAATCAACCCCATTTTTTGGTTCATAATCTGTTTGTTTGAAGTAAAGCACAAAGCTACACCATAGGCTATCTGTGCTCTGCCCACCACGGGTATCGAAATCCGGTTTCTAGCTTTGTAAGTCCGCAGACATACCGCTGTCCAATGGGAGGCTCGGTTCATAGAGCCGGACAAATCTCTCGCGAATGGCTACCCACCCTCTGGTCAATAGTTCAAATGCGTGTACGGTTTTACCTGAACTCTAGGTATTTCTGACCTGACCTTTTAACACACTTACGCATATGGTTATGTTGAAATTGAAAATTCCTTTTTAACAAAAGAATATGAAGTTCAATTTTATTATTATTATTCTATATTCCCATTAATTCCTGGTATTCTATTAAGTTCTGTATCAAAAGTTTTTAAGTCCATTTAAAAGAGTAAACTGAACGAAATAATGTCGTCTCCTCATCTTTAAGACAAAAATGATGTAAGTAAAAACTTTAGTTAATAACTCAAAAAGATGTGAAATGTCAAATTAAGCTATTAACGTTTCTCTTTTTAACAGACATGCGAAAATAAAAAATATATATCTATCGTGAGATTTTAAAAACTCACTAGATGACGCCACTTGATGAAGCACGTTCACATTTGTTTGGTAAATATACACATTGTTATCGCAAAACAAAAGAAAAGATAATTAACGAATTATGAAATAACAAGTATTAAACGTCATGACAAATTTAAGTTATTAGGTTAGATTGTTCAATATTCAACAATCAGGCTGTGAAAGCTTAATGATACCTGCTTAGCGTAAAAGCGTTAAAAATTATATTAATTAGGAGATTGCTAAAACAAAAAAACACATCTGCTGGAGACAGAAGCTTAGTGGAAATGAAAAAAAAAAACATGAATACTAACGAACAAGTGGTTAATTACAATGTTAATTAAAAACTTTGTCACGAGGAAGATCAAAATTTGGTGTCTTTTAAAAATGAAATTTAAATATTGTCCACTTTTAGAAGTGAGAAAATATTAACATACATGTCATAATATGCCGTAATTTATTACTATAAAACTAAAGTCATGCCTGCTTCTGACAGCTAAAAAAAATTTAACAAATAAAGAAGGCTTAAGAATAACAATATCATAAAAACTCAAATATTGTTAATATAATTATAAATTAGTCAATAATTTGTTATCCGTTTACTAGGATATTTTATCGCCAAGAAACATTTAATTCCAAGTTTTATAGTAAACTAGACTACCCGTGACCCGTTGGGTCACCAACTATTCAGAAGTTATGAAGAATTCAAGCTAATTTCAATATTGCACTGAAATGAAGGTTTATTTTGAGATAATTTAATTAAATATT